TATATATATATATATATATATATATATTTCAATAAAATCAGAAATCTGACAGAAAAAAGGCTAAGCTTGCTTCTGTTGTGAATATTTTTAAATTCAATAAAAAAGTGGTGAAGCTGAAATTTGTAGTTTTCCAAAATTTCCAGTTATAATTAACACACATTGAGATTTCTAATGATATACATGAAAGAGCAAATCTATCAATGATTGAACTCCCTGAACCTACAAAACAATAATTTTTTTCTCACTTTTTCTTTGTCTGTTCCAAGAAGTTTCTGATCATCTCTGTTTTTTAGCTTTCCAGGTGCCTCAGCAATTGGCAACACAGAATGAAAAATGAAGATCTTACCAGCACATCCAGCAGCCTTGAAAACAAATCACACATTAAAAAGACTTCAACTGTTTGTTTTTTCATGAACAGCAAATTATTTCTTTGCAAAGACAGGTTTTAATAAGCTGATCAAGACGACATCTGTTACTGTCACATTTTGATTCTTTGATAGTGTTTTTAAATATATATTAGAACAAACATGCTGAAAGCAGAAAAATAATTTAACAACTTAGTCAAAACTCAAAAAACATATTAGAAAATCAGAGACTTCTTTCATTGCACACAAGTTTGTCTAATTTACATCATATAATCTTTGTAGAACTATACACATTCAAAGTGGTTAAATATAATTATATAACAATGTTTCAGAGGGAGGATCTTGCCTATTCACAACATCTTATTTACTTCTACATATATATAAAACACAAACTTTTGCACCAGTTTTTTTATAATTCATACACTCTGCTAGTCACACATGCACAAGAAATCACCTTCATAAAGAAAACTAAGGATGGCAATTTCTTTTTAGTCTTAACGATTATAAGAAAAAATTATAAACATATTGTGATCACTTTCCAGAATCCAGTAGCTATGATAAAACAAAATCTGTATAATAGCCATACTATGTAAACTAAGTAATACCAAGTTTTAATGTGCACCTAATGTTACATTTTATCTTGAAAAGAGTTCAGAAGTCAAAGTAATTTAGAACAAAATGTCTAGTCAATCATATTGTCACATTGTTTTCATGTTTAATGCATTTCTTTCTTCCACTGCATATTTTGATTAACTGTATTTGAGCAAATTCTTAACAGTTAGTCCACTAAACACCTTATTAAATTATTCCGTGTATATATATATATATATATTAAGTTTGTTTATACAACAAAGTACGTGGACTAACTATTCTGTTGTTTGT